CTCTGGACACAGAGAAGGAGTGGTGCAGGATATGGGTGGGCAGTGTTGGGGTGTGGGCCTCCCCATGTAGGGGCAGGTGGCAGCAGCTCAATGAGCTGAGAGTTTTCTCCTAGTCAGGCCCAAGATATTTCAGGTTCATCCAGGTGGAAAACACCTGCCACGGTGGCATCTTAACGCTGCTCCCAGCTCAGGAAGGTGGTCTAAGCCTGTTCAACAGTGTGCACAATGACACTGCTCAAGTCTGTCTCAGATGTTCCCACCACCCAGCCTGGGCTTGGGGTGAGACAAAGCATCCCAGTCCCACTAGCACACATCGTGGTCCGACCTATGTTCCTCACCAGTTGGGCTGGTCCCCTCAGTCATTCCAGCTCAGAATATGCTTCAACTCAGCTCTCCTGGGTCTGGATTCAGTAGACCAGGGGAGGTGCTGATCTGCCAGAGCCTGTTCCAGAGGCAAAAATGGGTGCTTGGACATTCAGACACAGAGGCAAAATCAGGGTGCTGAGTACTGCCCCACAGGCATGGGGTAAGCACCACTGGAAGCTGAACCACTCAGGGATCCTCAGAGCATGTCCTCACAGACAGGAGATGCCACCCTTATCTTCCTCCCTGGGCAGACTAGGGTTCAGAAGGCAGGGCTCCCCAGCTAGGCAGATATTGGGAAGAAAGTCCTGCCCTGGTTGGGGAAAGGACAGGATGTCTGGGTTCTCAGGAAGAGGGTCTAAGAGAAAACCAACTGGAGCAGGGTAGAGTCCTGTGACCTCTATGTTTTCCCAGAATCCTGTCAAAAGCTCAAGCACTAGCAGGGCTGGGACGAGCCAGTTCCCACAGGGAAGAGGGATGAAAACCTGGGGTCCCTAGGCTACACAGAAGCAGCTGTTCTCAGGGCATTTTTTTTTTTTTTGAAAATTTGGTCTAGAGGAAGAGACCAATGAGAGAATCCTGAGCTCCAATGCCAAGCATGGGTGGGTGTGGTGGGGCTGTTGGTGGCTTACCCAGTGTCCTTGTTCTGCTCTGTAGGGCTAGATCATGCATGTGGCTCCAAGCCCAGTGAGAGGCGATGCTGGTCACCATTCCTGCAGCTGTATATTCTTTTATGTTGGACCCTAGAGGGTAATAGAGACACCACCCTCAGGCCTGATGCCCACCCAGGCTGCCCTAGCTTCCTAATCGGAGACTGAGTTTTCCCCTCAACTTCTGGTCTACCCAAAAACTCAGTTCCTATTCAGGTCACCGAGACACTCAGCCCCACTCAGGTGGTGGCCCACAGACTTAGGCAGAGTTGACACACAAGGACATGCAGACCACACAAGAACAAGTACACCAGGGATTGTGTAGGGTTGGAAAAGTAGACAAAGCAGGAGCCGGTATTGAGGACAAGAGGGTGGATACAGGGCCCCTGCTGTGGTCATCGGTGACCAGTTGGGCCCTTCCGTGTCAGCCCCAGGAGAGTTTAGTTTACTGAGGGAGATCTGTGACCTGTAGTAGAGTGCCCCCTCTGTAGGTTAAGGAATACCCACTCTTCTGCACACTGGCCCCTCTGTCTGCACCCAACACCTGTTCGCTCTTCAGGCACTTTACTGCTGGTCTGCTGCAGTTCTCCATGGCACTAGAGCGGCTTCACCGTGGGTGCAGCAGCAACAGCTCGCTCGCAGCATGATGTTCAGTATATGCCAAGCTCTGGACTTCACGCCTTGCCTTGGAGTGCAGGGAGAGTCTAGAGTCTTCAGGTTTTCATGATACTGGACTCTATCTTCTGTTGTTATTGCATTTCTCCAGAAGGTGAGGTACCAGCCACATCGTGGGGGAGGTGCCTGGGTCATCCTGTGGGGCTGGGGTGCTGGGGCTGCACGTTTTCTTCTTGTTTTCCACATGCCCCTCCTGCTGGGGGGCCGGACTGATGGTGATGTTATCCCGAGCGTCCTCAAAGTTGAGGGGGGTGGCTCGGAGGTAGACTTATGTTCCTGGGGTTCCTGTAGCTGGGATGTTGGCACAGAGGTGAGCCCATGCACCGGAGGGTACTCGGGCTGGGGCCCTGGCACAGCAGTTGTCTCATGGTCCCCGTGGTCCTCCAGCTGGAGACCTGTCTCAGAGGTCATATCGGGCTCCTCATTGTCCTCCAGCTGGGGGCCTGTCTCACAGGTACTCTCAGGCTCCCTGGAGACCTCCAGCTGGGCAGATGGCAAGGAGGTGTTTTCAAACTCCCCAGGAAAATCCAGCTGGGCAGACGGCACAGAGGTTGTCTCCTGCAAACCATAGTCCTCCATTTGGAGTGCTGGCATAGATGTTGTCTCAGACTCCACGTTATTCTGCAGCTGAGTGGCTGGAATAGAGGTCATCACATGAGCCTCAGGATCGTCCTGATGGGTGGCTGGCACAGAGGTAGTTATCTTCTCCTCGGAGTCCTCCAATTGGGGGGCCGGCATGGAAGTGTTCTCATGCTCCCTGATGTCCTCCAGCTTGGCGGCTGGTAATGAGGGACTCTCGTGTTCCCTGGGTTCCAACTGGATTTCTGGCTGGAGATGGTCTCAGGCTCTTTGAGTACGTCTAGCTGGAGGCTTGGCACAGACATGGTCATGTGCTCCCCTGGATTGTCCATCTTGGGGACTGGAACAGAGAGGGACATGTGTTCCCTGGGGTGTTCCAGTTGGGGGACAGGGACAGATCTGGTCTTAAGCTCTGGTCTGGACATGACTCTGGCTGATGTCAATCTTCCCTGTTCCTTCTGGTTGAAGAACTGGGTCCACATGACACACGGTTTTATTTGAAGAGTTTTTTTTTTTTTTTTCCCAGAAAGGATGGGCTGAAAGGTGCACTCCCTGGAAGGACCGGCACAGTCAGACCTAGAGGGATGGGAGGGCTCTCCCAAGATGGCATGTACCTGTGCCTCCTCCTGTTCCTCCAGCTTTGCGGAGCAGAGTATTAAGTAGGTACCCATGATGTAATCTTACCTCCTTTCAGCCACTGCTCTGTGCACATGATCACTTTGAAATCCAAGGGAAATCATGGCCTGGATCATGGCCGGGTCAACGTGGTCATGGGAGGGCACCCTGAGGGATAGGAGTCCCTTCACCCAAGGATGGTCAATGATAGTGTCAATATTGTCCCTTTTCTTTGGGTCAATCGCCATCATCCTGCTTAACAGGTCCTGGCACTGGGTGGACAGATACTTGGGCAGGTAAAATTTGCCACTTACTATGTGCTCCCTAAGTTCCCTGATGTCCTTTCCAATGAATGGCAGTGACCCTGTCACAATGAAATACAACACAACCCCGAGGCTCCCAATGTCCACTCCGGGGCCGTTGTAAGGCCTGTTAAGGTGGATCTCAGGTGCAGCGTACTCCTTTGTGCCGCAGTATGTGGTGAGCAGTTGCTCAGAGAACTGCATGCTGAGCCCGAAGTCTGCCAGCTTAATGTTCCTCTGGTGGTCCAAGAGCAGGTTGTCAGGCTTCAGATCCCGGTGTGCTATGCCGTTGGCATGGCAGTGATGTAGCACTGACAGGATCTGGCAGAACTTGCCCCGGGCTTCACGCTCCGACAGGCGCCCGTGCTGCTGCAGGTAGCCCAGCAGATCACCGCCCTCCAGATACTCCATTACCAGCACAAGCTTGCCCTTCCTGTCCACAATGTGGAAGAGCTGGACAATGTGCGGGTGACTGAGCACCTTCAGGTTTCGCACCTCCTGCTCCAGCGACACGGAGCTCTTTTCCTTGCATTTTCTGATGATCTTTAGAGCCACCAGCCTGCCTGTGAGCTTGTGCCGGGCGAGCCTGACCGTGGCATAGGCACCCTCCCCCAGCTTCTGTAGCACTTCATAACTTTTAATTTTAATATTCCTTCTAGTGTGGAACATAATGATGGTGTCTGGCTTCACTATACTGACTGGTCCTGAATGCTAACTGCTCTAGAATCCCAACAAAAACTACTCACTAAGCTAACTAAATGCTCTCAGCACTAACTTTACTATACAAGCAATACTAACTACACCTGTCTTCCTACTGTTGCTAATGCTAACTACTAACACTAAATTAATATTAACATTTACTAAATATACACAAACTAGTTAAAAATCACGGCCAATAACTTAAAATGTTATAAAATTTAAAAATAATAAACAAACCAATTAGAAACTTACAACTAAATTAGAAATAAACACAAATGAAACAAACAAAAAAAACACAAAAGGAGCAAACATCTTTTAGAAACTAACTAATAAAGCAAAGTAGATTACAACTGAGAAAAAAGACAAAGAACAAATAAGAAAAAACAAAATAATGAAAAAATGGAGAAGTCACGAAGAAAAGAAAATTGAGATAATTAAAAAATTTAAAAAATAATAAATGAAAACTTCAAAATAAAAATAAAAAGTATAAGAAAAAGAAAACAACAAAGGAAAATAAATAGGACAATAAAAGTAAATATAAATTAATGTAACAACTCTATAAACAAATTAATAACTAAATCACTAAGTAAACAAATAGGAAAAAACACACCAAATCACGCTTGCTCTGTCAGGTCCATAGGTGACTGGAATCTTCCTGGGTCCTGAGGACACAGCCAGCCCAGGCAGGGCTTGGATAGGCTTTGGCTATGTCCTTGCAGTGGCCCATGTGGGGTCAGAGCCAGAGGCAGCAGCCCCAGTTGGAGTGAAAATCGGGAGGTATTTACAGCCTGAACAAAAAAGGAACCACTAAGTGGTAGAGTCATACGACTTGCTAGAGATTAAATTTTACTCCATGAACTAAAACCTATAGAATGTCTCATAGTGAGTCTCATTTCTCGTGAGAAAATCTGCGCTTGTTCTGACTTTTAAACAACTTTTAATACAGTCACCCCCTTAATCTCTGATGTCCCTCCAAATGGTGCTACAGAATCCACTGACAATCACACTACAGAATACTGTGAGCAGAAGACTCCACAAATTCCCTTCTTCACACCCTAACATTTAGTGCTCTGCTAATGAGCTGAGTGTGATCCTCAGCCACATGAGTATAGTCAGCATGACACCACGAGGTATGTGGCTGACATACTGTGCTGCCCACCGTGGACACTCCTGTGGTGGGGGTACCCTCTGACCTAACAGATGGGGATGCGGAGACTGGGGTGGGGCTGGTCAGCTCCCTCCTAGTTTTCTGGCCTCAAATATCTCATTGTGCAAAGAAGTGGGGTTGGGGGCTGGTTGGCAAAGGGCAGTCCAACTGCTGTGACCTGGGCCCTGCCTGGAAATTTCTGTGGGGTCTGCAAATCCTGGGTTCATGTCAACAATACAGTTTCTATTGCTACTCAGGCTACAGGCTTCTCTTTCACCCTCAGGCCTTCCCTGATCATACATTCAAAGCTTCGGCTGAAGACTGACTCACAGGAGAAGCCAATGCCAATCCAGAGAGCCCAGCATAATCTCCAGAGATCAGAAGTCTGGCTCAAGGATGCTGGACTGAGAAGACAGGGCAGAGCGAATATTAATTGAGCAGCCTCCTGTCAGGAGGATGGGGAGAAGAATGGGATGTAGCTGGATTCCCTCCGGAGAGCCAGATCTACAGGTAGCCCCAACAGGCTCTGCTTTTCCCTACACACTCTGCTCTCTGTGGCCTGGGCCCTGTCCACAGCAGGGTCACATGCTCTCCTGTGTCAGCTGCTGATGGAAATGTGCATTCCAGCTTCTCTCTCAAAACTGCTTGTGTGTGGCCCACTTTCTCCTGTCCTTGACCGGGCTACACTTTTCCATGGCTGCAATATATCTACATATTGGTGACTTCAAAATGTCTAATTCTTGTCCGCATGTTCCTAGAACACCAGCTCTAGAGAAAAGCTTGCTTGTCATGAGTGTATCAGTCAGCATCTCAGGCATTACATGCCAACATTAGTTTTTTTTTTTATTTTTTAAATATTTATTTTATTTATGTATACAAGAACTGGGGTAGAGATCAGAGGTGGGGGTGAGAGGACTCCCCAGACAAAGACTGGTGCACAAAACAGGTGATTCACAGAAATCCAGTGCAGTGGGAAAGAGAGGGAGACAGAAGACATCACTGCACCTTGGGGTCAATTCTCTGCTCAGGGATCCAACTGAGGTCACAGAAGTGACAGTCCTGAGCCTGCATCCCTATGCCAATATAGGCTGCTGCTCAGCCTCCTCAGCCAGGGAGTTCCCTGCCCCATCTGCACCTGTGCACACCACCTGTCTCAGAATTCAAGGCCTGAGAAATCCAAACAAGCTCCCCTTCTCTTTCAGTCCCGCAAAAATGGCAGTGAGCCAGCCCAGCCTGGAGTGACAAGTCACTAGGCCAGGGTTGCAGTTGCTGACTGGTCATCTCCCTGCTTCCCCAGACAACTGCCCTCCCTAGCAGTCTTAGCCTGAAAGCATAAACCAGGTCATCAATTCTGCAGTATAATACCCTCCCATGGCCATGCTATGCTCAGAACCAACATGACACTCCTTCTCATAGCCTTCCCTGCCCCTCTCCCCTTGCATCCTTACTGGGAAAGCTTCATTTCTCTCTGCCACATCCTGTAGCCTCGTGGGGCCTCTGCAGAGTTGCTGCTCCTCCATGTCTGCCGATGCCCAAACCAGCATGACCTCACTCTGGTCCCCGCCCACCTTTTTCTGTGAAGGTCCAGAACATTTAGCTTGAGAATTCTCTTGGCTCTTCATAGTAGCACTTATACGTAAACCATACTAACATGACTTATTTACAGAATTTTACTCTAGAATTGCATTACCACCTATACCCTGAACTCCTTAAACATTTTTTTTTTTTTTGGTGGCTGACCAAAACTGTTCCTAACCCAAACTCATCTCAAACAACAGCGAATTTGGAATATTCTTATGATATTGGTGTAGGACTGTGGTAACAGGCATCAAAGGCAGTGTGAACATTCTCCTCTGAATCATCATCAGTAACACAAAACAACCTGACTTTCATAAAGAAAAACATACACAATTGAGATCACAAAAGAACTACTCACCAATCAAAAAAGATAAACTCAGACTTTCCCCAGAGGCTCATCGGGTTAAAGCACCACATTATGAAGTTCTCCTAAGTCACTGCAGCATTAGTTTGATCCCGGCCAGGGAGCTGACCAACATGGTGTGGCAGAACTATTCTGACCTGCCTGCTGCTATCCTCAGCAGTGTACTTTGTCAATCTGCCTGTTCTGCTCCCCATTCGTCTCTCGTGAATCTTCTCACATACCAAACTTGTGGTCTGTATTCCAGTTCTATAAGTATAAATAAATAAATATTTTTAAAAAGTCCCTCCCTGGTGGTGCAGCAGGATAAAGCAGAGCATTAAGAAGCTAAAGCCACTTCAGCATGGCTTTGATCCCTGACCCTGAGGCCACCCACATGGTGAGGCAGACCTCTCCTGACTTGCTGGCTGCTTCCCTCATTAGTGTACTTCTTCAGTCGACTTATTCTACTCCCACTCTGTCTCTGATGAATCCCTTCATCTGCCACTGCACCTCTGGCCTTTACTCCAGTTTTGTATGCATGAATAAATAAATCTTAAAAAAAAGCTAAATGAATGCATTTTGCAGCAATATGGATGGAGCTGGAAATAATCCTGCTTGGTTAAATAAGACAGAAAGAAAAAAAAAATACTGCAAAGTTTCATTCATAGCAGCATATAAAGCACCAGGGAGGAAAAAATAACAATGTGCAATTATATACCAAATACATGTCACGGGGGTGGAGTGGGGAATGGGATCAAAAATGGGAGGGGGAGTGCACTGGACTATGGTTATGCACACGGGTGGTTTGGTGATGGAAAGTCCATGGGGTTTATAACTGAGCTGGAAAAAAGGCCAAAATGGTGTACAAATAAACCATTGTTTTGTTAAATGCACATTCTGGGGAAAGTCACCACAGAATAATCTTCTTTACTGTCCTATCTTAATTGATCTGAGTCTGAACTGGACAAATATCCAACATTCTGAGAATACAGCCATAAAGAGAATATCCTGGAAAGGGCTGCAAAAGAGAATGTGTACCCACCACTACCTGCAACCACCACACCTGAATAGTTTGCCCAGCCTCCACAATCACATTTCCACAACTTTATATGTGACAGCCCTCCACCCCAAGTCCTCCTTGGGGCGATCTTGTATGTTTCTGTTTCATTCTGTGTGCACTGGCTTGCAATTCTCTGCTCTTCCCAAGTAAACACATTTGACGCCATGCAGGTACTTCCATGCCATGCAAGTGCAAGCTCTGCCAGACGGGGGTGGAGAGAAGACAATACTGTGCCACAGAATTTGTTAGGTCCCTCGGCCCCTCTGTCTGGGTCTCTGACTCACCCTGTGTACAGAAAGGATGGCAGGCAGATAGCATTCCTGGTGCCACCTCCTGTAACTGGCTGAAACTAGACCCTGGTATCAGATCCTGACTCGTGACTGAGACGTCTGTTCTTAGAAACCCGTCCTTGAGTGCTGTGAAGTTTGTTACTCTTTGAATTTGCACTGGCTATGACGTATGTAACAGCTGATGAGGGCCTATATATTCTCTGAAATTCCTATGCTCTGGGTTTTGCTCTCCTTGTGTGGCCTGTGTGCCTGCAGGAAGGCTCGACCAGCTAGCTGGCTTAATAAACTCTGTTTGCTTGTGCATCTCTGCTCCTGTTCTTTGTCACGGGGGACAACCGGGTGATTTTGGACCCTAACAAATTAACACTATTAAGCAAAAACAAGTTTCTCTCCTTGAAAATTTCAGCATCACAGACAAAACCTCAAGCGCTATAGGTAACTTCACATGAAAATAATCAGAAATGTAATTTGTATTCATATTGATGTCTTTATGTTTACAGCAAAATGCATTCTGTTAACTCATTAAATGTATACATGTATTGAAGATTATCTCTTAAAAATTCTACTTGGGAATGTCCAAAATCTTCTTTTAATCTCTCTCTGGTAGAAAGAGAGTAGCTCAATGAGTAAGTTCAACATTTGACAATAGATGTCAGTGTTTGGGGGACTTGAGCAATATATTAGGCCGAGTTGGGTGAATTAGGGGCTCACTCAATGGGCATCAGGGGGTTAGGGGAGCTCAGGGGTTTGCGGTTTTCTGGATGGGTTGGCAGGACTTGGTGGAGACCGTGGACTTGGACAGGTTGTCAGGCTGTAATCAGTCTCTGGGGGCTCAAGGGAGCTCTGAGGGGCAACTCACTCTCTTTCTCACCAGTGCCTTTGGTGTCTGCTTGGTAAGCTGGGCTCAGTGGTGTCCTTGGAGTCGGCCAGATACAGCCCTCAGTCTCAAGCAGCGCACACCCTACCTGCCACAAGGACTTTGAAACTGCCACTAGAACGTCTCCTTGGAGACAGGGAAGCATCCCAGAACTGTCACAATGGAATCCCGCCCATCGTGGCCTGCCATTGGCTGGCACCTCGTTGTGGGCGGGCCTTCACTTGGTCACAGGGAGTGGTTGACCCCACCGGCCAGTCACCAATTCCTCATGCAAGTGTGGGTCCCTAGGCTAAAAGGGTCTAGTACTTCCTCTTATTTGTTTTCCAGCAAGCCCCTACGCCCACAGTGCCCCAATATGCTGTATGTAAAGACTTTGTAACAAGAAAATCTGCTGGCCCAAGGAGGCTGGTTGGAAAGAAAAGCACCCTAGGCATAGGGGGAAGGATTTTGGCTTTTTTGGGATTTTGAGGATTTTGGACTTGGGATTTTGCCACAGCTTTGCCCCTACAATCCGAGATGCTTAGTGTGCAGAGAATGGACAACAGGCGGTTGGCAAGCCAAGAGCCTCTGCTGACACCTAGGTTCCTGTAGGGAAAGCTGGCTTCCATAAAGGAATACATTAGTTAGTCGTTTTGTTTGTTTGCCGGTGGAGTTTTACATGGAAGTTTACATTTGTGCCTGGATACAATTCCACTTAAGCTATAGGATTTTTTTTTAAACAATATTGGTGCAAATACCGGTGCTAGCAGTAAAAAATATGCACTTGCAACCGGTGTCCCTCTCAGAGCTTTATAATATACTAATGTGTTTTGATGGAGTGAAGTCAAGATTATCT